CTTAGCCAGTTAAAAAAAAACACTTTCCAAGATGAATCAAGTAAAACAAAAACTCTTAGACTAGTCATGGTTAAAGAGCCAACTGACAAATAAAGTTGGTTATTTTTGTGGCATATGACAATAATAACCATAATTATTACTGATAACATGCACCAAGACATATCAATATTTTATAGTATTGGAACATATATTAATAACATATTTATACAAATATAATCCAATGAAAGTAAAACACCATTTCATATTTGGCAATGCTTCCTGTACAGTTTTAACATAACAAAATAAACCTAAATATGTCTCTCTTAGGCTTTCAGTGGCCCTAATATATAAACAGTTAAAAAGGCTGGGTTTAGAATTTGGGTTTTGGAAAGTTTGTCAAATATCAAAGGCTTAAAACATTTGTTCAGATGGAATCACAAGCCATTATAAAACAAGGGTCATTTATTTAACCAAGAGCAATAGTTATCAAAAGATTCCAAAGGTGATACACCTCATTTTAATGCTAAAACCTGGGTCAAAGTGAACCTGGGATGTATGTTACATATATGTGTACTCATTGCGCATGCACTTGGCTCCCCTGATAAATACGTATAGCTTTTCCCCCAAACCTGCTGAGTATGTATGGCTCTATTGTGTGATACAGGCACTGTGAGCCATAAACCCCATCCTGCCCTTTCCCTCATCAGAGAGAGAGCACCTATGGCACATGCTGGAGACTATCTCTTCCTGGTTTGCAAACTGATATTGCTAATAAAGCTCTCCTTTCTACCATTTAGCCATCCTGGTGGTCTTCTGGATGATGAAAGAAATCAATGGAAACTGACCTCAAGAGAACCCAGATGTTGGAATTAGCAAAGATCTTTAAAGTAGCTATTATAACTTTGTTCAGGGACATAAAAGAAAACACACTAACAGTGAGTAAATAGATAAGAAATCTTAGCAGAGAAATTGAAGTGATAAAGGGGAACCAAATAGAAATTCTAAAACTGAAAAGTACAATATCTGAGACTTAAAATTCATTGAATGGGGCCAGCAGTGGTGGCTCACACCTGTAATCCCAGCACTCTGGGAGGCCAAGGCAGGAAGATCACTTGAGCCCAGGAGTTATTATATTGCCCAGACCAGCCTGGGCAATATAATAAGACCATGTCTCTATAAAAATAATTTTTAAAAAATTACCCAGGCATGTTGGCTTATGCCTGTAGTCCTGGTTACTTGAGGCAGGAGAATCGCTTGAGCCCAGGAGTTCAAAGCTGCAGTGAGCTATAGATGTGTCACCGCACTCCAGTGTAGGGCAACAGAGGAAGACCCTGTCTTGAAATAAAATAAATATAAAATAAAATAAAATAAAATAAAATAAAATAAAATAAAAATTCATTGAGTGGTTTGTTTCTTCTATGTTTCTTCTCAACAAACAAAAAAGCCAAATAAATGGCAAGCTCTTTCTGAGAATGCCCACAGCCTCTCTTGTAGCTCTTGTGTCCAGGGACACTGCGTTTGTACTTTATTTAAATTAGGCCCTTAAAAGTCAAAGAGTTCCCATAAGCAGACTGGAGATGATAAAACAAAGAATGCACTTGAAGATCAATCAATAACAATTATCTAATCTAATCTAATTACACAGAAAAAGATTGAGCAATGTATACATTAGTTTCTATCACTGCTGTTCTATCACTGTGTACTCAACAGTTTCTGGAAACAAAGAAGGGGCTCCACTCTCGGTGCTGTTACTATAATTCTGGAGGTACACTCACTATTTCCAAGTGAGGCTTCCAAGAGCAGCTCTTTGCAACCGACAGCTCAACGAACTTTACTGTTAGCCTCCTAACCAATTCCTCCCTTGTCCCACCAGGACAGCACACACCAGTGTCCTGGTGCTCTCACCTTCCAGACTCTTCACTCTCCTCAGCCAACCCAAATCTTGCCTGTGCTACCTCCTGAATCTTTCTCATCTGGGCCCTCTTTTCCCTGTTGTCATCATGGATCCGCCAACAACATGACCCTTGACGTGTCTCTCTGTTCCAGCTCCCAGCACATGGTCTCACAAAAACTGCCTGCACAGGAAATGATTCTTTAAAGAATCTGAAAACATAAGGGTTTGGGGACCGATGAACAACACAGGATCCCCCCCTGTTAGACATTCTGGGATAAAGAGAAAATTCTAACCCCAGGCAATGGAAGGTCAGTGGAGTCCACACTGACGGTGTGACTGGTCTAAGTCACTGGGCGGAACCAGTTGCTGAAACATTCAGGGTTCCCACAGCGGATGTAAAGGGCCTCTCCCCAGGGACTCCCTTCAGATTTCCCAGCAGCTGAAGGGCCAAGATGGACCACAGCAGGGCCCTAACCCGATGGGTGGTCACACATTTTGAATATCATGCAAATGCAAAAGAAGGGTGTTTGGGAGAGGAGTTGATTTCATTGAGCCAAGATCTGTTGGCTTAGGTCAGGGGTCCTCAAATATTTTAAACAGGGGGCCAGTTCACTGTCCCTCAGACCGTTAGAGGGCTGGACTATAGCTTAAAAAAAAACTATGAACAAATTCCTATGCACACTGCGCATATCTTATTTTGAAGTTAAAAAAACAAACGGGCAAAAACACCCGCATGTGGCCCACGGGTTTGAGGACGCCTGGCTTAGGTGAACTCTTTGACTTTTAAAGGTCTAATTTAAATGAAATACAAACCCAGCGTCCCTCGACAAAGGAAGAAGGGATGCTGTGGGCATTCTCAGAAAGAGCTTGCCATTTATTTGACTTTTTTGCTTGTTGAGAAGAAATACAGAGCAGTGTCCTTTCTCCCCACCACATCCGTCCTCTCAGGGCTCCTAGGAAATAGGTCAGGCCCTGCCCCAGGGAAGGTGGGGAGGGAGGGAGGGAGGAAGCAGCTGGCCTCGCAGAGGGTGCTTAAGGCCACTGTGTCTTAGGACACTAAGATTCTTGGAGTGTGCTGGCAGCCAACTTGGCCAAGGGCCATGGCAAGTGAGCTCTTAGGTGTGGTGTAGTGCCAAAGACTGCTTACCAGCCCCTGGACATCAGCTCCAGAGAGTCTGCCAAGGCACCCAGGAATGTAACATTCATTCTGGCTTTATTCTGAAGCCACCTGTGCCAGGACCAGGTACACCACAGAGACCCAGCATTTCTGTCCATCCTCCACCTCCCAACGTTCCAGTCCTCCTCTGCAGCCTTGGGCTGGTGAGAGCACCTTGTTCACCACCCCTGGTCACGTCAGGCTGGGCCACTGCCAGCTGGTCACCATCTCAGCTCGCTCTGGCTGTACCCTGTGTCCCCTAACTGACCACTAGCATTCGTGATTCTGTGCCACAGCAAAGAGGACATGCTTGGCTGTGAAGGCTCGGGAGCATGCTGTCACTCACCCCGTCCGCCACGCAGGGCTCTTGCTCAGAGCCAAGTCTGCAGGGGTGAGGGCTTAGATGTGCCCCGAGGCTGGGCCAACATGGGTCACCCTTTGTTAGGGCCCCTGTGACCAGGGATACATTTGTGTAGAGAGCAGCGACTTGTCTAACAGTCTTCTCTGTGCTAAACTGAGTAACCCACAAGGGGATAGAAAATGAGTTACCAGCAACTTCCTCCACAGAGACTGACCCAGACTGTCTGAGGAGAACGCACCACAAAACTGGAGAGAAGAGGCCCAGAACCCTGCTAAAGCACTTGTTAGGTAGATAGTGAGGGATTCCGGGTCTCCCAGAGACAAAAGTGGGTGCTGTTGCTCCATCTTGGTCCTACCCAACCCTGACTTTCCACCCCTGGGGGAGGAGGGAACATCCTATGAATCTGCCAGTCAGAACTTGGTGCACCAGCCACAAAAGAATTCAGAGAACACTGGCCCACAGACCAAGCCTCATGGGTACCATAAAGTCTGGAAAGAACCCACATGCATAGTTAAGGCTCAGGTCATGTGACTTCTGTCTAATCAAAGTGGTTCCATACTGACCTCTGAACCACAAGGGAGGTCCCTATCTGGACACTATAAAATAGGACACAGACCACAGCCAAGCTCACTTTCTCTTGGCCCTTCCTCTTGCCTGCTCTGTTGCCACAATGGGTCCAGTCATCATCTAAAGTGTAAGTATCGTGCTCTGTAAACCTATTATCTTGCTCTTTCCCTATAATCCTATCTTTCTCTCCTCAATAAACCTCATTTTCGTGCTTGCCTAACTTGGCGTGTCTGGTCATTCTTCGGCCATGAGCGAGCGCGTCAATAACCAAGAGTTTTAGGCCGGGCGCGGTGGCTCACGCCTGTAATCCTAGCACTCTGGGAGGCTGAGGCGGGTGGATTGCTTGAGGTCAGGAGTTCAAAACCAGCCTGAGCAAGAACGAGACCCCGTCTCTACTATAAATAGAAAGAAATTAAATGGCCAACTAATACATATATAGAAAAAATTAGCTGGGCATGGTGGCACATGCCTGTAGTCCCAGCTACTTGGGAGGCTGAGGCAGGAGGATTGCTTGAGCCCAGGAGTTTGAGGTTGCTGTGAGCTAGGCTGACGCCACGGCACTCACTCTAGCCTGGGCAACAAAGTGAGACTCTGTCTCAAAAAAAAAAAAAATAACCAAGAGTTTCAGACCAAAACCTAATACTTTCATGAGTACTCTAAGGAATTAAAAAGAAAAGTACAATTTTTGAGGTAAACTGGTTTTCTTAGGTTTGTGCATCATTTCTTCTTTCATTCATTAATTCATTTAACAAAGAATTTTCCAAGCTCCTTTCATGTGCTAAGGCTGTTCCAGTAATCTATTGCTATATAACCATCCACCCCAAAATGTAATGACACAATTCATCCTCAGCTGGGAAAAAAATATACAATTCATGTCATAGAGAAAGAACTCATCTGTCTAATATTTAACAGTTTTAAGAAATCAGGAAAAAGTGGAGAAAGGATATTAAAAATATAAACTATCCTTAAATATATAAAAAGATGATTAAGCCAATTTATAAAAAGAATTCTAATGATAAGCACCCTAAGATGCAATTTCTTACCTATCAAATTGGCACACATTCAAAAGTTGGATACCCTCCTCAGCTGTCAAGGCCACAGGGATGGAGGGAGGCTTGTCCAATGCAGGCGGGATGCAAAATGGGACAATCTGGTGACGTGGAAAGACCTGCAAAAATACAAATGTGTTTAGCCTTTGCTCTAACTATCCCACCTCTGGCAGGCTATCCTATGGCAGTCTCTGACCATGCTATTCATTGGAACATTCTCAAGCAAAACTGGGCAACATCTCAATATTTCTTCTATAGAGGGATGGATAATTAGAACTGTGGGATATTCACACAGTAGAAAACTACACAAATATAAAAAAGAATGAGGAGGATTTTGTGGAGTTTTTTTTTTTTTTTTGGACAAATATGGGAAAAATTCAAGGATATATTGCTAAGGTGCAGAACAGTGTATATAGCCAGCCTACTTTTGGTGCCAAAAAAGTGGGAAAAGGCTGGGCGCCGTGGCTCACATTTGTAATTCTAGCACTCTGGGAGGCTGAGGTGGGAGGATGGCTCAAGGTCAGGAGTTCAAGACCAGCCTGAGCGAGAGTGAGACCCCATCTCTACTGTAAATAGAAAGAAATTAATTGGCCAACTAAAAATACATAGAAAAAATTAGCCGGGCACGGTGGCGCATGCCTGTAGTCCCAGCAACTCGGGAGGCTGAGGCAGCAGAATTGCTTGAGCCCAGGAGTTTGAGGTTGCTGTGAGCTAGGCTGACGCCATGGCACTCACTCTAGCCTGGGCAACAAAGCCAGACTCTGTCTCAAAAAAAAAAAAAAAAGAATTAGCCAGGTGTGGTGGCCCACACCTGTAGTCCCAGCTACTGGCTGAGCTGAGACAGGAAGATCGCTTGAGTCCAGGAGTTCAAAGCTGCAGTGAGCTATGATCACACCACTACACTCTAGTCTGAGTGACAGAGTAAGACCCTGTCTTAAGAAAAACAAAAAATTAAATATGTACAACTCAATAAGAATGAAAATATACCATGTCAAGTTGTATGGAACACAACTAAAATTTTTTAGAGATTTAAAGTGTTAAATGCATGTATTGGAAGCAAATTTTAAAAAAATGAAAGCAAATTGGGTCAGAGCAAAAAAGGCTTGTTAATGACTGTACACTTCACTGTACAACACACATGTTAGCCCCTCATGTATGCAATTGAATCTAAACTATAAATCAAGGCCAGGAGCCTTGATGTTTGGGGTTAGCAGATTCACACATCAAATCCTACACTTGTCAGGTCTCAGTCTGAACAAACATCCTCTTAATGACCTGGGGTTCCTGATCCCTTCCAGGCAGGATGATATTGTTTGTAATCCCTCCTCACCTGGGGGGGGGTCCCTCGACGCCCCCAGTTTATACCTTCATTCGGTCACCCGTGCAACAGCTATGAAGACTAGTTTGTGCCTGGCGCTGCTGAGGACCCCGGGACACGGTAGGAACACGGCGGGGCGGACGCAGGCTTAAGGAGGCCACTAAAACTACTTTAAACAGAGTCTCCCCACCGCTCACGCTGCGGCGCGGGGGAGCGAGCACCCGGGGAACGCTCCGCTGCGGCTGCTCCTAGGCCTCGGCCAGCTCCGCGTCCCGCGCGGGGCGGGGGCGGGGTCCCGCAAACGGAGCCGTCCCCGCTGGGTCCGTCCCGCGGAGGCCTCGGCTGCCGCCCCGGGCTCCCAGGCGCGCGGGCGGGGCCTACGGAAAAGGGGCCGGCGAGGGCGGGACTCGGAGCTGCTGGTGTCCTTTCTTCCCGCGACCTCGGCGCCAGAGTGACTGACTGCGCGAGTCCGCCAGAGCTGAGCGATGGGTAAAGACGCCCGCCAGGGGCCCTCAGACCCGAGCGGGCGGAACGTGAGGAGGCCATGAGGAGGCCGCGCGCGGGCACCGCCAGCCCGCCCACCTACTTGGGGCGGTGGAAGAGGGGCGGGACGGAGGGGAGGCTTCGCTGACCACGCCGGCCCTTCTGGTTGCCGCTGCTCCTTCGTCCGCAGTCCCGAAGGCCAGCAGAGCCGGAGCGGCCGGACGTGTCCTCTCAGGGTCCCGGGAGCCCCCAGGCCAGCGGCCGCGTGCTGGGGGTGCAGGGTGCTGGGGCCTGCAGTGGTGCCGCCTACTCTAAATCGTCGGTCCACCCTGGCCCTGTGTCACCATGGGCACTCATTACACCTCCCAGGGCCTCAGCTTCCCGCCCCCTGAAGTGAGAGTGGCATCCTGGGGACAGGGGAGCTGGCCTGTGTGGAGTGTTCAGCACCCCTGCTGGCCCCAGTGAAGGCTTAGGAAATTAGCTGTTGTTATTCTGTTCACTCTGTTTTTGTTTATTTGTTTGTTTGTTTTTTGAGACAGAGTCTTGCTTTGTTGTCCAGGCTAGAGTGAGTGCCGTGGCGTCAGCCTAGCTCACAGCAACCTCAAACTCCTGGGCTCAAGCGATCCTCCTGCCTCAGCCTCCCAAGTAGCTGGGACTACAGACATGCGCCACAATGCCCGGCTAGTTTTTTCTATATATATTAGTTGACCAATTAATTTCTTTCTATTTATAGTAGAGACGAGGTCTCGATCTTGCTCAGGCTGGTTTTGAACTCCTGACCTCGAGCAATCCACCCACCTCGGCCTCCCAGAGTGCTAGGATTACAGGCGTGAGCCACGGCGCCCGGCCCACTCTGGTTTTACAGAGTAGGAAACTGAGGCTCAAAAGGTTTCTGTAACTTGCCCAAGTTCACACAGCCAGCAAGTGTCGGGGTCCATGCCTGGCCAACCCCCCTCAGCATATTCTAGAAAGTTCTGCTCAAATGGAGTGCATCCTGTGAGGCCTGCACCAAAGATTTCCTCAGCCAGTAGACCCGGTTCATCTTTCTGTCCTCTGGGTGTCCCCACATTCATGTCTGGCTCTCTCTCCTGGTAACTCTCTGGGGGCAGCTCAGGGGTGTGAGCCCCTTTCAGGGGCTCTGATGCATGTGGGGGTGTAATGATGCGCCAGCTTCCAAAATGGACGAGTGAGGGAATGAATGACAGGCTCTGTCTTTCAGGCCTGCTCTCAGAGCTGAAGCTGGCTGTGCCGTGGGGCCACATCGCCGCCAAAACCTGGGGCTTCCCGCAGGGCCCCCCGGTTCTCTGCCTGCATGGCTGGCTGGACAATGCCAACTCCTTCAGCAGACTCATCCCTCTTCTCCCGCAAGGTGGGGCTGGGGCTGGGGCTGAAGGGGGCGGAGGGGGCAGGAGACGGCTGGTGTAGACACTTCCTCCTGCCCACTTCCACTTCTCTCTGTTTCAGACTTCCATTATGTTGCCATGGATTTTGGAGGTCATGGGCTCTCGTCCCATTACAGCCCAGGTTTCCCATACTACCACCACAACTTTGTGTGTGAGGTCCGAAGAGTCGTGGAAGGTGAGTAAGAGGCAGCGTGTGTGTGGGAAGGGGCTCTGAGACAACCCCTCTTACCGTCCTCAGAGGGGGTGTGTGGCATCCAGGAAGCAGCCTTGGTTTGGGGTCGGTGCCTGGGGTCTGGCCCCAGTTCTGCCAGCAAGCCGTGGGTGGCTTTGGGAAAGTTGAAGAGCTTACTCCCTCCTGTGGGTCCCCCCTGCAGTGGAGCTGGGGCCCCCTAAGCTGGTGTTCTGGGTGGGTGCCCTGATTTCCTGAGCCCAGGACTGTAAGAGAGAGGGCGGCTGAGGCTGGGCCCATCCGGACCTCCTGGCTCCTTGTGTTTGCAGCCATGAAATGGAGTCGCTTTTCCTTGATGGGCCACAGTTTCGGTGAGTGCACTTTGGCCAGGGGCAGTGGTGAGGGGACTTGGGAAGGGGGGGCGGTGATACACTGGCACCTTCACCTGTGCCTCAGAACTGCAGGGAGAGATGAAAGGGTAAGTTAGGAAATGACCTTTGAGCACTGTGCTGTCTGACCTCAGGCAACTTCCCTGAGGAACAGATGCCCCCATAGGTGGCTGACTCCCAATTCCACAAGTGAAATGTGGCCTGTTGAGTGGTCAGGGCTGCTGAAGGGGCCATTATGGCCCAGGGGAGAGAGCGCTGAGTTATAGCAATAAGCAATAAGGAGCCCCCACCCGCTGATGGGAAGCAGTTGGGTCTCTAGCCTGGGGGGTGGGCAGCCCCTGGGAAGAAGCTTTAGGAAAGTTTTATAGCTGGGGAGGGAGTGAGGGGATGTCATCAACTGCTCCTTTGTCCCCCAGGTGGCACTGTGGCTGGAATGGTGAGTAGATGGCCTTGCCAGGCCACCTGGGGGCTCCTGTAGCTGGTGTAGGGAGAGAGAGGAGGAGGGAGTTAGCTGGGACAGGCAGTGCCGCCTCATGTCACAGCAGTTCACCTGCGGGGAAGGCAGTGAGGACAGTGGAGATGCCCCCACCCCATCACGGAGCACCCTGGATTGTGGCCATCGCCAGGGCCTGGAGCTCGGTTCGGGGTGCAGACCTGGGGGTGGGAGCCACACTGAAGGGGTAGAAGATTTGCCTGTTGGCCTCTTGGTCAGCACTCTGCCCTCGGCCTGAAAGATGTTTCAGGAAATGCCAGGATCTCCTGAACAAAGTGTGAGTGCCTTTCTGTCTTCCTCCCCTGCTCATTCTCCCTTTTGGTGTCACATCGTAGTTTTCCTGTATGTTCCCTGAGATGGTGGACAAACTTATCTTGCTGGACTCGGTGCCACTCATCGTGGACTCCAATGTGAGCAGGGGCTCTCATGCATGCTGGCGTCTCCTGCGGTGGCCACTGGGGAGGCAGGAGGAGGTGGTAGAGGGTGGATTGGGGGAGGGGGCGGCGGTCCTGGGGGCCCCGCAGAGGATGGCATTCTGCTGCTTTATACCTTTAGAAGTGGTCAAGAGAAGGGGTTCAGGGTCCCTTGGAAACTGTGTGTGGCCCGGGATCTGCAGAGTGCCAGGTGGATTGTGTAGTGGCAGGCAGTGGCGGGGGTGGGGCAGCGAGCAGTGGGTGGAGGAGCCTCTGGGGGCACACAGCTTGGCAAGCCCACTGCAGTCATACCTTGCCGGATGTCTCTGTGCTAGGTACACAGTGCACGATCGCACACAGCAGCCCTGAGTGTGGACTGATGGGAGAATTACTGACCTCTCTGACCACCAGTACCCATAACAACCAGTACTGTCCCTGCATCTGAGTCCTGGCTTCGTTGTTTGTCTGCTGTGTGACCCTGAGCAAGCCACTTTGCCTCTCTGGGCCTCAGTTTCTTTCCCTGTAATGTGAGAAGGTTGGACATGATGACTTGGGAGGTCCTCTGCCAGCTCTGACATCTTGTCATTCAACCCAAGGGCTCAGCCTCTTAGTTATGACACTGCTTTCTCATCAGTTTCAGTTTTCTTGTCCATAAAATGACCACAAATTCCATAAGGACAAGAACCATATCTATTTTTTTATCACCACACTCCAATCCTGGCATGTAGTAAGTGCTCAATAAATGTGCATTGCATGAGCAGATAGTTCAGCTAGCTCGCCAGGTCACAGTAGGGATCCAGCTCAGACTGCAGGTGGCCGACACGCTCCCTCCTTTCTGTGTTTCACCCCTGAGCTGGCGTGCACTGGACCCCCAGGGGCTTCCTCCTGGGCCAGTCTGGGGAGCATTTGGTCCTCTCTGTCCTCCATTCCAGGGAGGGGTTGGATAGGAGCGTTGCCGCCCGCCACACCCCAGGCAGTGGACCTGCAGACAGGGCCAGGCTGCTCTCACAGAGTGAGCCGCGCAGTGGGGGGTGGAAGCCCCAGAGCTGCGCTCCCGGCTGCCGTCCTCTTCTCTGCCATCAGCAATGATGGCATTAGTTGAACCAGGTGAAACCGCCAACCCCTGGCGGTCCCTGATCTAATGGCATGCCTTTGCAAGGCAGCTGGCAGAGATCTGCTTTCCTCTCCATCATCCAACCTGGTCCCTGCAGTTGTCCCTGGCAGCAGGCTGAGCTGGGCTCACTGTGCCCAGAGGGGAGGCCTCGCTCAGAGTCACAGGGCTGATCCTGTGCCAACCCTTGCTGAGAGCAGAGGCAGGGTAGGGTGGGCTGGGGCCCCCCTCTGCAGCCCTAGCCCGCCCACCCAGCTGATGGCAAACCCTTAGGAAATGGAGAACTTGGTGACCTACAAGAGGAGAGCCATAGAGCACCTGCTGCAGGTGGAGGCCTTTCAGAAGCCCCCGAGCGTGGTCAGCCTGGAGGAGATGGTACAGGGGTGGGTACTCATCAAAGGGGTGGGGAGGGCGGGCCGGGGGGGCCACGGGAACCAGGGGAGGAAGCCCCGGGAGACACCAAGAAGCTGTTTTCTCCTGCCTGCCTGCCAAGCCTGTTTCTGTCTGTGATCACCCCAAGCACAGGCTCCCTAGCCAGTCTTTTGCCACCCCACTGGGGACTTCATCTGCCCCTCACAACAGCCATACCCTTCACTTCCAGCGCCCCTCTCCACACCTCACACTCCTTCCTCTCCCCAAAAGCGTGTACATATACACACGTGTGCACATACGCACACTCATGAGCACATGCTCCCCTTCCACACCCGCTCCCCCTAGGACTTCATCCTGCAGCGCCCTCTACCTGGCATTCTCCCCTGCGCCTTGCCCACTTCCCCACTCCTCCCTGGGGCCTCCGCTGGCTGGCGCTGCCTCCAGAAGTCCTCCCCAACTCCTGCAGCTGAGCTGTCCCTCCCGCCCTGGAGGGGACTGTACCTCCATTAAGAGCCTACTGACTGCCAGTTTCCTGGTGCCTGTGACCCCACAACCCCACCGTGGCTGTCCTGGTTATGTTTGTGTGTCCTGCATCTGACAGTGTGCCCAATGGGTCAGGGCTCCATGAATGTTTGCTGTCTAAAGGAGTAGAAACACACACACACACACACACACGTCCCACTGCTGTGAGCATGTCATCCACTTGCAGTGGGCAAACCTGCATCCTTTGGGGGTGATCCCCCTTTCACTGCCCTCCTCTCCTTTCCATCTGACCCAAGGCCCCCGCCGTCCTGTCTCCTGCAGGTTCAAGAAGAACAGGCAGATGAATGAGGATTGTGCCAAGCTCCTCCTGGAGAGAGGAACCACGAAGGTGGGCACAGGTAAGTGTCTCTGTCGAAGGCCACTGCACGTCATCCCTATTCTTACTGAGGAAGGGTATCGAGGACTGGCGCTGCACCAGGCAGGATGCTGAGTGCTTCTCGCACAGCCTCTCATCGAGTCCTACTTGTCCCCGCTGCCCATTCCATTCCGAGTGGGAGACGCCGAGGCTGGGTGTGGCCCAGAGACTCTGCAAGGCCAGATGGCCGCGGCACATCCAGGAAAGTCACACTCTGTAGGGAGTTTGGTCCCCTGTCTTGGGACTAAATGGTGAATGTTGTGGCCGTGCTCTGCTGGACCTGTGGGGTGGGTGCCAGTGCTGGAGGCTGCAAGGACGTCCCAAGGGGCCGAGTGACTTTGAAGGGGCTTTTTACTATGCAGAGGTGGCGTAGGTGGTCCCTCGGCTTCAGGGCAGCCTCTGGCATGAGCGTTTTCTGCACTTTGTTTTCTAATACATTCATTCAGAAAACCTCTCCTGAGGCCACGGGGGCTGCCGGTGAGCAGGTCCCTCTCAGTGGGGCCAGGGCAGCTCCAGGGGCTGCCATTCCCAGGTGGAAGTGCCACCTGGGAGTTGAGCAGAGAGGAGGCTGGGTGGGGCCCACATCCTAGGAGGAGACATAGGTGATGAACAGGCAAACAGACAACTCAGTGGGCGACGTTCTGCAGCGTAACAAAGGAACTGCAAAGAGAGCTCTGGAAGAGACCGAGGGGCTGCTCTGAGAGGTGGTCCGGGAAGCAGCTCCGTGGAGGGGCGGCAGAAGCTAGAGGGAGATGGCGTGGTCGGGGAGCACATGGCTAAACTGGGCCGAGAGACCTGGCTCTGACTCCCAGCTCTGCTAGCTGAGCCTCCCCTTCTAGACTCCCTGGCCGCTCAGGTCCTGGGATCTTGGTGCTCCTGAGCTGGTGGGATCAATCGAGGTGACTTTGGTTTACAAGGTGCCAAACAAGGTAGGGGTCAAAAGCCCAGGCCTGTGGGGGCCGGGCTAGTGTGGAGTTAATCCTGCTGCTGGGAGAGGGGGAGGCAGTACGGAGGGGTAGGGACTTCAGGATGTCGTGTGGGAGTTCAGGTCTAGTGTGGCCAGAATTTCCAGTTGCTTTAGGAAACCTATATATTTTTAGGTATCGGGAACCAATCCAGAAATGGACAGTGCACTGTGAGGGTCTCACGCAATATCCCTGTGGGCTGTTCTGGCCTTGGGCTGCCAGTTTGTGACCTGCTGGGTCTTTGTTACCGTCTTTGAACTTTGTCTTGCCTCCCTGCAAACCCACCCTGGAGAGGGGAGGTCGAGGCCTTGGGCCCAGGCTTCCCTGGTGTGCCCCATGTAGATGGCTGGCCCAGAGGGGCCCTGCGCAGAAGTGGGCTAATCTGGAATGAGACACGCTCCCAATTAGGACAGGGAATCCGATTAAGCCCAAGGTCACATGAAATGGTGAACAGGGTGCCCATCTGTGGGTGTCCTGGAACCCACCCAGAGGTAAACATCTGTGTATTCATTCAGCAAGCACTTGAGCACCTACTAAGTGGCAGGCACAGTTCTTGGTCCTGGGGACACAGCTGTGAACAAGAGAGTCCAGACTCTTTGTCCTCAGGAAGCTACATCTAGCAGAGGAGAGAAGCAGGAGACAAGTGAGGGGCCCCTCGCATCAGAAAGTGGAAGGGGAAAAATAAGTCAGAGGGGAGCGTTTGCCATTCTCAACCTCCTGCTGTGATATTGGAAAAGACTTGGAGGAAGAGAGGGAGCAGCCCTGCTGTTTTATTTAGGTCGTCACCTGCAGCTCTAGTCCCTGAGTCCCTGTTGGAGGGGTCCCCCCAATCCAGCAACTGCCAGCATTTGCTGCGAGCCCCCAAGCCGCAGGGTTTCCCTGTGTGCCTCCCAGGGAAAGGCACACACAGAGGGCACTGAGGCCACTATCTTTGTGCTTCCACCTTCAGGTGTGACGTTGAACAGAGACCGGAGGGTCCATTCGGTAAGTGCCACTGTCTCTGGGTCCTTTCACGGTTGCTTGCTGGCCTCTGTTTCAAATTATATAGATAACATAATATAACATGCATAATACATACATGCATAGCAATACATACATGGCATAATCATTGTTGTTTTAACTATTTAAACACAGCTTCCTCTTCCCCACGCCCCCGGGCAACCTCCATTCTACTTTCTGTCTCTATGAATTTGCCTATTGTAGGGACCTTATATAAGTGGAATCACAGTATTTGTCCTTCTGTGTCTGGCTTCTTTCACTTAGTGTAATGTTTTCTAGGTCCACTCATGTAGCACAGAGTAGAGTTTAGGCCGAGTAGTATCACATTGTATGGATAAACCACATTTTCTTTATCCATTGTCTGTTGATGGACACCTGGGTTGTTTCCACCTCTGGCTATTGTGAATAGCCCTGCTGCTGCTATGAACATTGGTGTACAAGTGTGTTTCGTGAAAGGGCCACATATGCAAAGGGACCCCCAAAAGCAGAAGGAGCTGAGAAGCCAAGGAATGAGGCAGACGAATCCAGTTTGTCAGTAAAAGGCCATATATTGGGGAATTTAGGGACAGAAATGTGGTCTTGGGTGGCAGCAAGACAGGTAGATCTCAGAGCTGCTCCCCCCAAGACCTGGGGCTTATATACCATAGGGCAAGGTACATGCTGTAGAAGGAAAGTGCAGGACAATGAAATATGTGTTTACAATGACATCCAGGTTGTCTTGGCTTACTCAAGGGACGGTAAACAAAGTAGAAGTCCTACAGGCATTCCTGGGGCCGAGGTTAATGGGAAGTCAACATAGAAGATTAGCATCTTTTTTTTTTTTTTTTTGAGACAGAGTCTTGCTTTGTTGCCCAGGCTAGAATGAGTGCCATGGCATCAGCCTAGCTCACAGCAACCTCAAACTCCTGGGCTCAAGCAATCCTGCTGCCTCAGCCTCCCAAGTAGCTGGGACTACAGCCATGTGCCACCATGCCCGGCTAATTTTTTCTATATATATAGTTGGCCAATTAATTTCTTTCTATTTACAGTAGAGACGAGGTCTCACGCTTGCTCAGGCTGGTTTCGAACTCCTGACCTCGAGCAATCCGCCCGCTTCGGCCTCCCAGAGTGCTAGGATTACAGGCGTGAGCCACTGCACCCAGCCAAGATTAACATCTAAGATGAAGTTACTTCACCCTCTACAAACTGTCTGGGTTCCTGCTTTCAATTCTTTTAGGTATACTCCTAGTGGTGGAATTGCTGGATCACATGGTAAATCTATATTTAACCTTTTTAGAAACCATCAAACTTGTCCACAGAGCTACTGTACCCTTTTACATTCCCACCAGCAATGCACAAGGGTTCCAATTTCTCCACAGTCCCAGTAACACTTGCTACTTTCCCAATTTTTTCTTATGGCCATTCTAGTAGGCATCAGTGGTATCTCACTGTGGTTTTGATTTGTATTTCCCGAATGACTAGTGATGTTGAACACCTTTTTGTGTGCTGATTGGCCATTTGTATATCTTCTCTGGAGAAATGTCAAGTTATTTGCCCATTTTTGAATTCAGTTGTTTGGTTTTTTGTTGTTGAGTTTTGGGAATTCTTTATAAATTCTGGATACTAGGATAGTAATCCCTTATCAGATATATGATTTGCAAACATTTCCTCCTGTTTAGTAGATCATCTTTTTACTTTCTTGGTAGTATGCTTTGATACACAGAAGTTCCTAATTTTAATAAAGTCTGTCCCTGCACTCTCTTTATTCTGTTCTGCCCATCTCTTTGTCTTTTCTTTTAGTCCTCTCCTCCCCACCCCCACTCATCTCTTTATCAACATCTGAGCAGTACCACTCTGTTTTCATTCCTTTTTTCTTTCTAATAAGTTTCAATATTTAGCAAAACAAGTCTGCTCTTCTTGCTCTTCTTTTACAAATTTTTCTTCACTATTCTTGCATTCACTTCCAACTGAAATTTAGAATCATCCACATCTGTTAAAAATTACATTGAATTTGTAGGCTATTTTGGGAATTGTTGTAGAAATTATGGATGAGGATCACCTGATTGGCAGTGAAGGCCCCCACGCCTAATCAGTGGGGGCTGGGCACCATGCCGCCCACATGGAAAGTGCGCTCCCAGACCCCTGCCTCACGGTGTACACAAGATGAGTCATAGATCGAAATATTAATACTTAATGCAAAAGGTAAAGGTTCTGGAAAAAAAACACAGGGAACATCTTCATGACCATAGGGTAGATAAATGTGTGTACATACATCATAAATCAATGCAAGTATTGATAAATAGGGCTTTATTAAAACTTAAAATTTCTGTTCATCAAAAGATAAGAGAGTGGAAAGGTTGGCTACAGACTGAGAGGAGATGTTTGAATGCATAGGTCTGTTAAAGGGCTCATTATCTATAATATATAAAGACCTCCTACAAATCAATATAAGAAAAAGACTGACAAACTCATTTTTAAAAACAGACAGGCCTTAAATAGGCTTTTCATGAAAGAGGCTACCCAGGTGGCCAATAAGCACACAAGAGGTGCTTAGCGTCATTCGTTACCAGGAAAATGAAAATCAAACCCCAATGAGATACTTCCCTGTCAACCCCCCGCGCTCCCTCCGTAGCTCAAAAGGACCTTAATGAGATGTGGAACAAACAGAACCTTCTTGTACTGCAGGAGGAGATGTAAACTGATGTCATCATTTTGGATAACTAATTGGCAGGACCTACTAAAGCCAAGCCCGTGACCCGGTAACCCTGCTCCTAGCTATGTACCCAGGAGAAGCGTGTGCTGTGTCTGCCAGGAGCCATGTGAGGAAGTTCTTAGCAGCTTTATTCGTGGTAGCACCAAACTGGAAATAACCCAGGTGTCCATCAACAAAAGAATGCACAATTGTTATATATTCATACAATGGAATGCCACAGGTAACAAGGCAGATGAACCATTTCACTGCACCAACGTGGAAGACTCTCACAGACACATTTACGGAGCGAAAGGAGCCAGACACAATGATTATATATATGATGCTCAAAGGAGACAAAATTAATTTGTGGGCCTAGAGGTCAGAATAGTGGTCTCCTTGGAGAGCCCCCTGCCAGGAGGGAGCTCTAGGTAAGAGTGCCTTGCCAGGCACTGGGCTTGTCCCATGCCTTGATCTGGGTCATAGCTACATGACTGTATCCCTATGTATTAATAAAAGGCCATTGTGAGCTGACACTTCAGTCTGTGAACTTTGCCGTGAGTTATACTTTTTTTTTTTTTTGAGACAGAGTCTCACTCTGTCACCAGATCTAGAGTACAGTGGTGTCATCATAGCTCACTGCAAACTCAAACTCCTGATCCTCCTGCCTCAGCCTCCCAGGTAGCTGGGACTACAGGCATGTGCCACAACATCCGGCTAATTTTTCTATGTTTTTAGTAGAGACGGAGTCTTGTTCTTGCTCAGGCTGGTCTCGAACTCGTGAGCTCAAGCAAGCCTCCTGCCTTAGCCTCTCAGAGTGCTAGGATTACAGGCATGATGCACCGCACCTGGCCTGTGAGTTATACCTTAATTACTGATCAGGGAATGAAGCTATTAATAAAAGAAGCGAAGAAGATATGTGGAGGAAGAGAGGGGAAAAAGTAGAAGATGAAAAGGGGAAGAGGGCTGCTCCCAGGAGCCTGGGCTCACTCAAAAGCTCTGTTACAAAGGCTGTCTTGGGAAAACAGCCTCTTTTTTTTTGAGACAGAGTCTCACTGTTGCCCAGACTAGAGTGCCGTGGCATCAGCCTAGCTCACAGCAACCTCAAACTCCTGGGCTCAAGCAATCCTCCTGCCTCAGCCTCCTGGGAAACTGGGACTACAGGTACCACGGTGCCTGGCTAATTTTTCTATGTTTAGTTGTTTGGCTAATTTCTATTTATAGTAGAGACGGGGTCCCGATTTTGCTCAGGCTGGTCTTAAACTCCTGACTTTGAGCAATCCTGCCTCGGCCTCCCAGAGTGCTAGGATTACAGGCATGAGCCACCATGCCTGGCCTGGTTTTTCTTTTTTTATAGAGACAGTGTTTCATCTCACTAGCCCAGGCTAGAGTGCAGTGGCACGAGCTCCTGGGCTCAAGGGATCTTCCTGCCTCAGCCTCCCCAGTAGCTAGGACTACAGGTGCATGCCACCACATCCAGCTAATTTTTATTTTTTTGTAGAGACACAGTCTCCCTATGTTGCCCAGGTTGGTCTTGAACTCCTGGCCTCAAGTGATCTTCCCACCTCTACCTCCCAAAGTGCTGGGATTTACAGGAGTGAGCCACTGTGCCCAGCTCCAACTTCATTTTAGTCTGAAGAGCAGGAAGTGGCTGGGAGAGTCAGGATAGAACAAGAGCAATGAGTTTTCATGGCTGTGACTAGATGGTCGTGTGTATGTGTGTGCTCACAAGAATTGTATATTCATCACAATGGTGTAGGAATATTGGGTGTGACTTAATGGAGTTGGCCCTTATGGGAGCTTCCTTGGATTAATCCACTCAACACACATTTATCAAGCTTCTCCTTGGTCTGTCCATGTGCTGAAAGCTATGGATACAGAGAAAATTCTGGGAGCTTCTACCCTTGGTGAGTCCCCAGACCAGATCAGCACAATCTGGTGGAAGTAAAATGTGAGCCATGTGTAATTTGACATTTTCTAGTAGCTATATTAAAAGAGTACAAAGAAAACAGGTGCAATCAATTGTTCTAATATTTTTATTTGACTCAATGTATCCAAGATGTTATCATTTCAAGATGCAATCAACACAAACTTTAATTGCATTATTTTTTCATAATAAGTCTTCCAAACCCAGAGTGCCTTTCACACCTACAGTGCATCTCAGTTGGGAATAACTGCATTTCCAATACTCGGTGGCCCCAGGTGGCTGGCACTCGCCATGTGGGATGGTGGGGACCTAGACACATGGAAGAGTCAGCAGGCAGGGCTGTGCTGGACAGCAACGTGGACTGTTCTTCACTGCTGCCAAGTGAATTTCTTTCTCATGGAACCGCCCTGTGAAGGGGGCTGGGCTCCACTCAGCAGAGAGGCCAGGGCCCCACCAGGCTGGCAGGACTGTGCTGTGAGGGAGCCTGTGGACCCGGGAAGGGGGTGTGGCCACACCTCAGTACTAAAATCCAGGCCCAGAAGTGGCCTTTAGTCACATAGCCACACCGAGCAGTAAGAAGTCTGGAAGTGGAGTCTGAACCCAAGAAGAAGGGAGAACAGATCTTAAGGTTGGAGGCAGTCTCCAGCCACCAGCTGGGTCCCCTCTGGATGGCTGAGATGGCCTCACTAGAACCCAGCTGCCCCAGCAGAGCCAGGCTTTGGACCACAGGAGTGCCAGGTGCCTGATGACGAGAATTCACCATGGTTTCGTCTCTGCAGGCGGAGAACTCCTTTGATTTCATCAGCAAGGAGCTGTATGTGCACTCTATCAGGAAGCTGCAGGCCCAGGTCCTGATTCTCAAGTAAGTCTGGAGCCAACACCCTTTGTCACCCTGAGAGAGACCTGGGTGCCAGGAATCTCCAGGAGGGAGCCCGGTGGAAGGCTCCCAGTTCTCCAGAGTGCCACCACACTGCTGTGGCTTGGGATCTTTCTTGGGATGCCCCTGGCAGACGGTCTATGGAAGGAGGAAGGTAAACGAGGGGAGAGCAAATCAGATAACAAGTAATGGTGACTACGGAGAAACCAGAACCTTCATACACTGCGGTGGGATCGCAAAATGGTGCGGCCAACTTGTATTTGAACACTTATAGCAGCATTCTGTAATAGCTAAAAGGTGGGGACAGCCCAGATGTCCACCAGTGGGCAAACAGATGGGCAAAATGTGGGCAAGCCATACAGTGGGCGATTTTGAAGCCATAGAAAGAAGTCCTGATGTGCTACGATATGGGGGAACCTTGAAACACTATGCCAGACACAAAGGTCTACACGCTGCAAGTCCTTTCACACTGAATCTGAACGGGGCAATCCAGAGACAGACAGTGGCTGTGCAAGGCTGGAAGCAGGCGGTGTGTGTGTAAAAGCTAGAGGTTCACGGGGTTGTGTGTGAAAGCTAGAGGTTCCTTAGGGGTGACGAAAATGTCCTATGGTTGAGGTGATGGTTGCACAACCCCAAATATACTAAAAACCATGAATTGCACACTTTTGCTTTCAAGGGGAGGATTGTATGGTAAATTGTATCTCAGTAAAGCTGCTTAAAAAACGAAAAAGCAAAGCAGGACTCAAGAGCCTGTTCACATCCAGCTCTGCCATTCAGTGGCTGTGACTGTGGAACTATGGGCAAGTCCTGTAAGTCCCCAAGTCCCAGCAGGGCACATCATAAGCACTTCGCCTGTGGCCAGTTGTGAATGTGACCTAGTGATAAGTGACTGAATCTCGAATGAAATCTAAGCCCAAAGGGACCCAGCTATAGGAAAGTCTGGGGTGGCCCCGGCTTGGTTTCTGAGAGGCCTGGAACTGGGGGTAGAACAAGGGCACTGCTAGGAGGTAGTCTTAAGATAAACCCTGATTTTTTCTTGCTTTCCAGATCAACCGAAGGATTTTCTGATGTGAGAAGAGAGAACGACACCAAGAAGGAGCCCCTGTACTTCATGGTTCACATGCTGAAATCCGTCCTAAAAGAGGTAAGGTGCTCAGGGCTCAGGTGACTGATGCCCAGGTGGTGTCAGGCCATAGTGACCCACTCTGGGCCCACTTCACCCATCTCTTCTCTTGCACTGGGACCCCTGGTCTGGTCTCAGGTCCCACTAGTGACCCCTGGGAGCTGTCAGGCCTTGATCTCCACAGTGGTCCCTAGAGAACCAGGATTGTATGGACGCAGCCTGCAGGAAACAGAGACCTCTACTGGCAGAATCTTCATTTTATTGCCCTCAGGTGTCTTAGACCAGGCACAACTCAGCAACCCAACTGCCAGGGGCAGTCCCACGCTTTGGAAGGTCCCAAGCCTATAGCACATCACCCTGCTGCTTCTCCCCCTCCCAGGACCTGCGCCTGGTGGATGTGGCAGACTGCAGGGTGGGAAGGATTGGAGGGGGGCTCGTGCTGTCATTATGACCCCTCCCCTGTTCCTGGCAGCATCACCCATGAACACCTGACCCTGGGGCCTCTGGAGACATCCTTGCATTGCCACAAAGGGCCACAGGTCAGAGCCAGGACACAAGGGCTTCTGTTACAACATTTTCTCCCAGGGCGGAAGCAAGTCTGGAAGCTGCCCGGGCTCTATCTCCTTAGTTTTTGTTCAAGCAGAGCTCATCTGATTGTCAGGACCAATAGCAACCTGCCTTTAGGTCCCTCCCTGTCCCAGTTGTGTCACCTCACAACTCGCTGGCCTAGACCCCTGGAGTGGTGTCTAAGTCCCAGGGTGCTGTGAACTGAGGCCCAAAGCTGAGTGTAGGGAGAGCTCACATGGGGCACTCCTGACCCGCCAGCGAAGCCCTGATGCACCCAGGGGCCTGTGGAGCTCCCCAAGCTCAGCTGGCCACGGTGGGCAGTGCCACCTCCTGTCCTCACCTCACCATGTGCCCCCTCCCTTCCCCAGCAGTGCCAGTACGTGGAGCTCCCGGGCAATCACTACATTCACATGGAGGAGCCCCACCGCCTGGCTGGCCACATCAGCTCCTTTTTGCAGAGCAAGCACAAGACCCCAGCTCGGCTGTAGCTCCTGGGCGGCCACAGAGACCTGGCGTTCACTCTGAGCTCCCAAGCCCCCTGCAAGGCCAGGCGTGGTGGGGACAGGCCAGTATGGGCTGGCAGTTAAGGGGATGGGGGCAAGATTCCAACTTTAACATCTAGACTTCAAGAGGGAGATGATGTCTGGAGTTGGGGTCATCTCTTTTGTGCTTACTAATCCCCAGTGAGCCGGCAGTGCCCGCCGGGCCTTTCCCTGGGTGGAAAATAAAACTTGTATTCTCTCTGTTTTGAGGCAGTCTCACTGCCAGCGAGGGCTCTTCCACTGAGGGGAAGGGGTGCACAGGGCAGAGCAGAGCGTCTGGAGGCAGGACACAGGAGCCGCTTCCCGAGGGCCAAGTCCTCCTGCTGGGCAGGCCTGGCCAGCGCTGGACCCAGGCTGCCAAAGCACAAGGACCGAGAGGGGTGACACTGTCTTTCACTCCCAGCCCATGTAGACTTGGAGACAGGGCTGGTGCCCATTCAAGAGCACAGCCTCCCTGGGTGTGTGCAGGCCCCGCAGCTCCGCCCAGCCACAATGCTCTCCGTGGGGGCCACAGCCAGCACAGCTCAGTAGGGTCGGAACTTGCGTTGAGCACGCATCAGTTCAATCCTCTGCTTGTCCTCCTCGAACTTCTTGCGCAGCTGTGCTAGATCTGGGGGTGCAAGACAGGGCAGGGTCAGGCACGCACTGTGGCTGGGAGCTGTGACTGCTGCCCCCCACTAGAAGGCGCCTGCTCCTGCCACCTGCCTCTCCCCCATTCCCACGAGGGGGCTCAGCACTGCCTCTCCCATTCCCCTCCCCTCTGCTCTGGGTACCCGGTCTGGATCAAGCGGCACTCAACTGTGGGCCGTGTCAGAGGCAATGCTGGCACACTGGAGTCCAGAGACAGGACAGGCACCAGCAACAAGAGCAGCACGGAGAAGGCAAAAGCCCCTGCCCCACCCCGTCTAGGGGGAAGAGAGACAACGGCATTGCTCCCCCCATCCTGACTAGAGGGGCCTTGGGAATTGGCAAAGGGACTCCATCCCCTGTGCCATCCAGTTCAGAAGGTGACTCTGGACACCGAGCAGCCCAGGCCAGTGGCTGTGTGTAAGCTGAGGGTCTAGAGAGGACAAGAGCAGAGGCAGGGGTGCAGGCGCAGGGGGGGATGGGCAGAGTGGGGTGGGGATATGAGGCAGCCACCGGGCAGGTGGTCAGGGCCTGCTGCAGAGCCCAGCCCACGCCCAGCACCCTTTCCTGGGCCCCCTGGGAAGCCACCATGCAATCTGGGACACCAGGTGGCAGGGCAGCGAGCTCAGTAGCAGCAGCAGCACCAAGAGGGCACAGGTGATCAGGTGATCGGCCATGGGAGTGGCCATGCAGGGCCACCTGACACACACTCACACCTACATTGGCACCATTCCCCACGACACACTTGGTGCCTTCTCTCTACCCACAGTGGGCTCTTGAGACCCACCCGGTGCGACTGGACTCCTTGCACACTGGAGGCTGACAAGTTCCAGCACTAATTGCTCAGGGGGCCCAGAGGAGGACCCACCTCCAGGCCCTACATCCCAGGGCCCCCACCCATTGGGCAAATGCGGCAGCCCCGGAGGGACAAGAGGACCACCACATGGGGGTACTGGCAGCCTGGGCCTCAGTCCCAAGCCTGTCGGGAGGCCTGTGCTGAAGGACACTCTCCCTCCCTGCCCCAGGCCCAGTGCCGCCCTCTGGAGTGCTGGCTGCAGGCCTCTCCATGGCTGGGCACCACGGGCAGTAGGGCTTGAGGACAGGAGCCGGGTGCTCTCTTACGCTCCATCTTGGACTCCCGGTGCTGCCAGGCATAGAAGTTGAGCAGTTCCTTGCGGGCACGCTTCCGTCTCTCCCTCTCCAGCACCCGCAGGCTGGCTGCCTCCGTCCGGGGCAGCACGGGCCGCCGGCCCCGGCGGGTCACCTTCACCCAGCCCTCCTCGTCAGGGACTCCTTCCTCTTCCTTGGCCTTAGCCTCCTCCTGCAAGGAGCAAGACCCTGCTGATGGGCAGGCTTCTTGGCCAGAGAGTGTACTCCTGGGCCCACCCCGGAGCCTCCAGAGCATGCCCGCCACAGTCACCCTGCAGTGAGAACCACCCTGGGCACCCAAAGGTACAGACTGCCCCCCTGCTGTACCTCCCACCATACAGTGTTGGGGCCAAGCATGGGGAGGGGGCAGAAGTGCGACATTGCCTCCTCCACCCCCTACAGACTATTTAGAGACTAGATGTCACTCGGCCAGGTGGCCCAGGATTAGCAGGGGAAAAGGAAGCCTGGACTCTACAGGGCGACCAAGGACAGGCTGCCACGACACCTCCCCCTTGGGAGACACACCAGGACACCAAGGCCACACAGATAAGCTGGGCCATCCCTGTGGAAACCCTACCTCAGCTATCTTCTTGTCATATGCCTCCATGAATGTGTCCACTTCAGTCCTCAAGGCCTCGGGGTCAGGCACGGAGTCTGCGTAGTCACTGATCCACTCTGAGGGAGAAAGGGGACAGGGAAACTCGGTTCCTCAGGCCTGACACTCGGGCCCCGCCCAGGGCCTGCCCCAGGCCAGTCGGGATCTTCTTACTCAGGGCCACAGGGACTGGAGACTCGAGGCCCAGGATGCAGGTGGTAAGGAAGATTCTAGTGGCAACAAGCTGGCCCTCACCTCTACCACCCTGCGTGTCGGTGCCGCTCAGTGCCAAAGGCTCAGGCTAACATCTCTCTGATGCGTCCCAGACACAGCCCAGTGGCGCACCTGCTGGGGCCTCCCACACACTGCTCTCAGGGAGGGTGGGTGCAGCTCGCGACACTCACACATGCTGTCCCTAGAGAGCTTCCTACCAACCCAGGGCCCAAAACGTAGGTGCCTGACACCAGCAGTGTTACTCACTGTGAATGCCACTCTTCACAGGATGACTTTCTGTAGAGACCAGCAAAGGGCCCTTCAGGGTCAAGGCAGCTGACACTCCACCTGGCTTCTGGAACACCACATAGGCTACCTGGAACCCCTGGGAAGAGAGAGAGGTCACAGCGTGAAGAAGGTCCAACACAAGGTCTCCACACCTGCCCTCAGCCTAACTGGTTGCTGGACCAGGGAACAGTAATGAGCTAAGCAGAGGTCACCGCATAATCCAGGTGAGGGACAGCCATACTCCTAGTTATCCAACTTCTGCTACAAGTGACACCTGTTCCTAACTCCTCCCCCAGGAAGAGGGGACACATAGGAGGCCTTTCTTCCAGTTATGGGAGGGACACAGTGAAAAGTGGGGTCTACCCTGGGCCAGGTCAGGTTCCTGGAAGCCAGGCTGGGGTGGACAGACGATGTCACTGTGCCAGGAAGAGGTATGGGCTCAAGGCCACAGGGAAACGTGGGAAGAACAGTGCTCCTGGGGATGAGGCCACCAAGCCCATGGAAGACTCGTCAGCAGGGAAACAGGTGAGGAGCTAGGGGAGGTCCTTCAGTGCAGCCAGCAGAGATGGCCCCAAGCTTCAAAACAAGACAACGGAAAACGCCAGGCAAGAAGGATGTGATAAATCCAGGAACAAACCAGAGGCTTGTCACCTGACAGCCTCCCAAACCAACAGCAAGGACTGGCCCAGGACTGCACAGAATGCTCTGAAAGACCCACTGCCAACTCCTCACACACTGGGGACATCACCCTAGCCCCACCCCATGCCCCCATTCTAGCGGGATCCAGTACTTGGAGGCTTACCGGAACAGGCTTGGGGTGAAAAAACTTTGACTTTGGTTCCTTTGGGCTCTCAGCAAGGTCTGGCTTCTCCTGTAACTCCACAGACTGGACAGGGCCGCAGGGGGACAGCAGGCGTGACAGGCTTTCCTACCATGGTGCAAGGGAAGTAGACTGAATGTCACAGGGCCTTTCCTCTGCCCTGGGTGGTACTGCCAGAGGAGGATGAGAGCCCTTGAAGGACGAGGAGCTCACGTCTCCTCAACCCGGAGAGCCTGGGGCACCGCGTCCTCTGACCTGTTCCCTCATGGATGACACGGAGGTTGACATCCCCACCTGACACACAAGACAGGTGGGGACATTTTTGGTGGTGTTCTGATTGTATATGACGACTAAGTTCCACTCCCTGAATCAGAAGTAGACAGTCAAATCTACACCATGAGAATCGGGACGGTGGTTGTCCTTGGTGCATGAGGGACATGAGGGGATTTCTGGGGGGTGCTGACATTTCTCCAGCTGGCTGCTGAGTACACAAGTGTATTCAGAGTTGTATAGCCTCAAGCCAGGACTGTCTCTGTACAGACGCTACACTTCAATAAAGGTTAAAAATGACGCCCTCTTATAGGAACAGGTTCATGTTTAAAAAAAAAAAAAAAGACATCCTCTCTATGGAACACTTCTTTCTAACTTTAGAAGATTTAAAAAAAAAAACAAACTCATCTAAAATCCAGCAATCCCTTAGTTTCGCTCTGTAAATTTACATAATAAACATAATATTTTCTGTGAGAAAAATTAGCAGATATGTCTAGATGGCTGAATTAGAGGCGATTTTGATTTTCTTATACTTTTCGTATTTTTAAATTATGGATATGTATCACTTTTTTTTTTGAGACAGAGTCTCGCTTTGTTGCCCAGGCTAGAGTGAGTGCCGTGGCGTCAGCCTAGCTCACAGCAACCTCAAACTCCTGGGCTCAAGCAATCCTTCTGCCTCAGCCTCCCGAGTAGCTGGGACTACAGGCATGTGCCACCATGCCCGGCTAATTTTTTATATATATATCAGTTGGCCAATTAATTTCTTTCTATTTGTAGTAGAGACGGGGTCTCGCTCTTGCTCAGGCTGGTTTTGAACTCCTGACCTTGAGCAATCCGCCCGCCTCGGCCTCCCAAGAGCTAGGATTACAGGCGTGAGCCACAGCGCCCGGCCTGTATCACTTTTATAATCAAGAAAAAAATCATGTAATTAAAACAATTTTGGGTGATATATATTAATAAAAAAGCTTTGGGCTCCTTAGAATTACATATTTTAAAACATCTTTAAAAAGAGCCAGTTTCCTATCACAAGAGATAGAGGCAGCCCTCTTGACACTCTCCTCTAGGGGGCCCTTCAGCTGCTTCCATCTCACCACCAAGGACTGGGGGGCAGTCCATGGGAGTCCCCCATCCCAAGCCCACAGGTCCCTCCCCAGATGCAGCTCACCTCTGTGCAGTACGGGGGCACATTGAGGACAAAAAGAGTGCGCTTCTGAGGCCAGGTGGACTTGGTGCCTTCACGGACACTGTGTGCTCTCACATAGAGGTAATGAGAAGCCTGCTGTTTTTCCGAGAACTTGATTGGAATGGCTGGAGGGGAATGGGGGGAGGGGAGGGATGGTGTGTATAGTCAGATTCCAGCCAGCCAGCGCTGCGGCCAGCTGGGCATTCACACAACTGCCTTTCTAGTCCCATCTGTCCATCAGTCTACCCTTTGCTGAGCCCTCCCCCTTGGCAAAGCCTATGCAGGCTATGAGAGTGAACGGAATCTGCCCAGGAGGAGCTCCCACGCTGGTGGGGAGAGTATGTATACAGGGAATTATCACAGAAGGGAAGCGCAATGAGAGCAAAGCTCAAACCCCCTGCTCTTGGGGTAAACACCAAAATCCTAACCATGGCTAGAAGCCCCATGTGACCCATCCAGCCTGCCATTGTGGCCTCTTCTCGAATCCTCCTCCCCTATTCCTCCTTCCTCTAATAACCCATGGCTTCACTGATGTCCTCTACCTGCCACATCAACCTCTTCCCTCCCCACAAGCTTCAGGTTTTAGCTCTGGAGAGCCTTACAACCCTTTGTGCCTGGTTATACACACCTGGCTGTGCCTTTGTAGCTTCTCTAACAGTCTGTAAGTCTACATTGAAAGGATTCCCTGGTTAATTACTGGCATGCCCAGAAATTTTAATCCTTATAAGGCTAGGAACTGTTTCTATTTTTCTGTTTTCCTTACCATGTTCCTCAGAGTATAATGGGGAAACAGCTGCAGACCCTGGACTCAAGAAGCTCACATTGTAATAAAGGTATTAGACAATGAACAAGCAAATATACAAGCTTGTGTTAAATATGAAAGAAACATACAGGGTGACAGGTGGAGGCCTTTCAATACACCATCAGAGAAGGCCTCTTGGAGGAAGCTACATTAAAGCTCAGACCAAATGACACAGTGCAACAGTCCAGCACAGAGCTGCCTGAGGGAGAGGGCACAGCAAGTTCAAAAACTCTGAGGGTGGAAACAGCTGGAGGTCAGCATGAGCCACAACACGTGGGCCATGCAAGTAAGAAGTCTGGTTACGTTTTAGGTGCTACCTTGTAAAGCCACTGGGCGGGGGAGAGGGTTATCGGCAGGCGTGTGAGGCAGGATGTGATTTAAACTTTAGAAAAAACATTCTGGCAACTGGTGGAGAACTGAATGCCGGAGCAAGAATAAGGAGGGGAACCAAGTAAGAGGGCACATACAGCCCTGGTGAGAGCAGATGGAAGAAGAACTAGGCACTCACTGTATGAGAAGGGGATGGGCTCACTTGGGCGAGGGGGTGTGGACGGAGACGACCCGCCCCGGGACAGTGTGGACATACCAGAGAAGTGCGCCGCGTGGGTCCTTGGGTCCCTGCAGCCTCATGATCTGCCCGGCCCGGGGCCAGCGACCGCCGGGGTTCACACACAACTGTGAGGCTGCTCCTGAGGGCCCCCGGCCACCCCCCAACCCCCAGTCACCTCCCGGCGAAACCTGGCAGTCCCCCAGCCTCGCATCCCGGAGCGCCTCACCTGAGTAGCCCGGCGGGCTCGGGATCCCCTCCTCAGGGTCTCGCGCCGCACGCTTCCTCCTGCGCGCCACCATCTTGCCGACCGGAAGCGCGGTGGCCGCTGGGAGTTGTAGTTCAGCCGCTGAGAATCCGTTTCCATGACAACGGCGCCGCGCGGGGGCCCCGCCCTCCCGGTTCTGGATCTGCCTCCCAGGCTTCCGACGCCCCAGGGCCCAACCTTCATTTGCTCAGAATAAAATCAGCGCTCGAATGTGGAAGTGAATGTCAGCCTTGGCCCAGGCCGTTCACGAGTACGAACTCAACTTTCCATCTCTCACTCGTTCATTCATTCGTTCCTTCCACCAACAGCAGCTCATGCGGCAGGCACTGTCCTAAGCGCTAGTAGAGGCTAGATGCGGACGTGAGACAACACCCAGCTTTCCTGGAGTTTACCTTCCAACGAGGGGAGGAAATGATAAACACATAAAGAAGCATAATATAATGCATATGTATTGCTGGTAAGTGCCTGGAAGAGAAAAATGGAGGAGGAAGACGCAATTTTAAATTAAAGATGTCACAATTTTAAATAAAGTCAAGACTCCATTGAAGTGACATTTGAACAAATACTTGAAGGATGTGAGGGAACAAAGCCTTTAGGTGTTTGAGGGGGAGGAGTATTCTGTGTGAGGGAATGGCAAGTGCGAAGGTTCCTGAGGCTGGAATCTGCCTTGCAGGGCCGAGAAATAGCACAGAGGCCAGTGTGGCTGGAGCCCAGTGGGCCAGAAGGAGAATCAGTGAGGGGATCGCCGGCTTGGCCAATCCTATGGGTCTGGCAGACCACTGGAAGCACCTCAACTGTTCCTCTGAGTGATGGGGCCACTGGGATTTTGAGCAGACGTAAGTGATGTGTAAACAGTAACACTTTGGCTGCTGTACTGCAGTTGGACTTTGAGAGGGGGCAGCAGCAAGGAAGTGGTTTAGGACACCACTGCAGTAATTCACAGGCAAAAGGATGGCTTGGTCCCCAGGGAAGTGGCAGCAGAGGTGGTGCGGGGTGAGGGTTTCTGAGTATGTTTTGAAGAATTCCAATAGGATTTGCCAACACACTGGATGCACGTGAGGGGGAGAGGTCCAGTACAGCGCTAGCTCTGCTGTCTGAGCAACTGGGAAGATGGTGTGTCCATTTACTGAGATGGTGAGACCGCAGGAGAGGCTGGCTCAGGAGCTCACTGAGGGCACGCTGAGATGCCTTTTTGACATCCCAGGGGAGATGCCAGGTGGGCAAGATATGAGACTGAACATCAGAGATACCTAGCCTGGGGAAACACACCTGGAGGTGGCAACATATAGGTGCTAGTGAGAGCTCTGAGATGGCGCCATCACCGAGCAGGGTAGTGTAGACAGAGCAGAGAAGCAGCTCAACCACTCCATTTATCTGGCCTTCAAAGGTCCCCTCACACCGTGTGCCCATTAGCCCTTGAAGTGTCTAGTATTCTCCCTTTCCAGGGGCAGTTACTTCTAGGAAATGGCCATTGTGGGCAAGAACTGGAGTATTGCTAATGCAAATATCTGCTGTGGCATCATAGGACTCTTCTCAAGGGGACCCAGCCTCCCTGGATCTGAGGACAGGCTTAGGCCTGGAAGCTGGGTGAGAGGCTGAGATTTCCTACTAGCAGCTGGCATTGGCTTCCTGCTCACTTGTTTTTGATCTTCCTTTGATTATAGCAGTCAGTGTGGCAGTTGCGATGGCCCCAAAACACCCTGGCCCACTAGCCTCACCACAGAGCCCGGCGACCCAAGCTCCCTGGCTGCCACTCTGGCCTTGCTCCGGCTTCTCCCACACCTAGGTTGGGATATGTGAGGTCCCCAAGCAGACTGCCTCCTTCCCACCTCTGTTTTATGTTCATTTTACACAAAATGTCCAGGGTTGTCCTTGGTGGAACCACGATAAAACCAACCATAAATAACTAATCTCATCTTTTCTAGTGCATAGTTCATTTAAGAGGTAAATTACACCCATGAGTGTACTTCTTCAAACCAAAGGCCCATAGTCTGGCTGCCTTGTTCCCTGTAAACAGTTGCCTAACTCTGTGCCACCTTAATACCCAGCAAGGCACTTCAGGCCCAGGAGGTGTTGCATCCCTGTGTCAGTTGCTTCCATGGACAGTAGTGACCAGTCTCTCAGCTGCAGAGACTGAGGTCCAGCAAGTCCTATGAGTAAATGCCCAAGGTCACAGTAAAGCGAGGCAAATTCCCATTTCCTGGTGCCAAGTCCCACTAAGGCCACTTAATACAAGAAATGTATTTTAATACAAGAAATGTCTTTTAAGAAATGACAGCTCAAAGGTAGGAATAACAAACGTTTATTCAGAAATGGATAAGTAATACATAGTCACCCTCCATCCCTTAATGCCTCTTCCTCTCCTTCTGAACGAGACGCAGACAGGTAGTGTAGGGGAGCGGGAGGTGGAGGACACAGGATTGGCCCGCCGCCTTCTCTTCCATTTCCCAAGATGACGGCTTTCGAACAGAGGCACAAACAGGCCCCCTCCCCCCTCAACGTACCATATGGTCACCCAGAAACTGAGCACCAGATGGCCAGGCAGCTGCAGCTGGGCCCAGTGAAACCCTGTGAGAACCAGAGCAGTCTGGCCTGGGAGTAATAGGGGAGGGGGACACCTCTTGGGCAGGGTGTTTGGCAGCCCTTCTCTAAGCCGTGTCCAGGAAGTGACCTGACTGACTGTTCCCAGTACCTGGGAAATCAGGTCCTACTGCCTCTGGGGTGCTCTCTTGGGCCAGGAAGGGTAAAGCATGAGAGGAATGTCTTCCAGCTGCTAAAGAGAAGGAAGTCTGTGCCCACTGGAAGTGGGTAAGGGGAAAACTGTGGCTTTCTTTAAAGAGCCAGAGAGTGGAGCACCATCAGGACCTCCTCGGCCTGGGCAGCCTCAGAGCCTGAGGACTAAAGCTGAGTCCTTGCTGCCTGGCGGATGTAACTGTGGAAACACGAGTTCCTAAGCTCTACCTCTCCGGGCCAGCCTCAAGCAGGTCCTGAGAGGCTCTTAATGTCTCAGGTTCCCTGTACTCTCTCTCTAGGCTTGTGCCTTCCACAGTACTTGCTGCTGACTGTAGAGCTCCCAGAATCCTGCTCCCAAACATGTTCCGGCTCTGCACCAGCCTGGATTCCCTTTACAGTCCCAACAAACCAGCAGGGGACTGCTAAATGACACACAACGCTTGGAGCAATGCTGTCCTGGTATCCAGAGACTGTCCCTGGGTTCTATAGTTTTGCCCCACACTGGGGAAACAGTCCCCTAGGGTACCCCCTCCCCTACTCCCCCACTGCCAAGGCAGGAAAATACCCCTCTGCATGGACGGATGGGTCACTCACAAAAGTGGGGACAGTGCCCCTTGGTAGCAGCTGGATATATGCCTCCAGCCATCCCTGACTACTGACCTGTAGACTACTGAGGCCAGAAAGGAAGAGCCAGGAGCACACCAGCACCTCCCACTCACATAATCCCCCAAACTCAGTGTTGCAGAATGGGAGGCAGAGTCTTTGTGTGCCCAGACTGCAAGGGAGCTGCCATTTGCACCAAAACCAGGGCACGATGAGCGCCACGCTAAGTGAGAGCTGGGAGGGTTAACAGTGCAAGCCCCTCCCAGCAGCGACGCCAAGAAGGCCAAGAGAACTGGGGTGGGGCATTCAGCACAACTCAAGGAAAAAAGAAACGTGGACTCTCAAGAATTTGCTCTGGGTTGGGCGAGGCAGCGCGGGCTCTCCAAACCAGAGCTGCGGGTGCACTCTCTACTAGAGCAGCGCCTCATCCTGCCCTTGCACCTAGCCAGGCCTGGAGTCAGTGGTGAGAGGAAAAGAGGCCTGTGACCTGATCCCCAGCTATGCCACCCCCACTGATGGCCAGGTGGGTGAGCGGCACAGCTCCTAAGCGGACCTGGATCCCATTAGGAAAGCAGAGGTTTCCACTCCCTCCTTTGTTTGAAAAGCTTAAAAACCAGAAAGGAAAGATAACCCCTCAGTCCCTGGAAAAAGCAGAGTCCTTCAAACAGCTCCTGCCCCACATCCCACGGGGCCACAAGACAGCCAGAGAATTTAGTGTACCATTTCCAGATAAGCAACCAGCTTGGGGCTGAGGCCGGGGGAGGCACACTCTGAGAAACACAAGCCTACCTTGGTGATGAGGTGGAGAGGAGAAAACACACACTACGGAATTGTTAACGTACAGGAGAGCACAGGGCAGAACAACACAGAAAGGCAGGTCCCATCCAGTGAGGAAGCTCTCTACCCTGGCAACCCTTCCCACACTTGGGGGTCTCCAGTCCGATGGCCATTGGTCACGAGCTTTGCCTTGGGAAACAGAGCCACCCTCCTCTGCCCCCGTTCTGGCTGTCTCACTCCCCTGCTCAAAGTTTGATTTTGAATTCTGTGGGCTGTGTGGTCACAGAGGCCCCTGAGGACTTGAAAAGTGCCTTCAGGATGGTGTCAGGGTCCACTTCAGCAGGAGGATTGGCTGAAGAGGCAGAATTCACCCTGCGAGGCAGCTCACTCTCCTTTTTCACTGAGGGGCTGTCACTCAGCCGCCTGTGGAGAGCAGAAAAGAGTCAAAGTTCTTGTCTATTTTCCCTAGATCTGAAGAGGACTCACCCTTACTGTACCTCTATTAGGAGCTAGGCACTAAGCGTGATGCTCTCTACACCCCTCATCTCATTTCCTTTCGTAACAAACTTATCATTTTTCTTATTAACTGATGAGATGCAACCTGCAGTGTTCTGGGGTTTTGTTGTTTTCTTTTTGAGACAGAGTCTCGCTCTGTTGCCCAGGCTAGAGTGCCGTGGCGTCAGCATAGCTCACAGCAACCTCAAACTCCTGGGCTCAAGCGATCCTCCTGCCTCAGCCTCCAGGGTAGCTGGGACTACAGGCATGCGCCACCATGCCCAGCTAATTTTTTCTATATATTTTTAGTTGTCCAATTAATTTCTTTCTATTTTTAGTAGAGACAGCGTCTCACTCTTGCTCAGGCTGGTCTCGAACTCCTGAGATCAAATGATCCTCCCACCTCGGCCTCCCAGAGTGCTAGGATTACAGGGATGAACCACTGTGCTGGCCCTGGGGTTTTGAGTTTAGGAAACACTGCATGTCCCTCCTGGGTGGTAACACACATTAGCATATTACATAATCTGAGAAGCCCAAGTTCCCGAACTCTTTAGGTCACAAAACCCTAAGAAACATTTTGAGAATACAACTCAGTCCTGGAACATAGTTTAAGATACTCATCCAAATCACCTAAGCCATCACCCAGGGTTCAAATCCTAGTCTTTCTTAATCTCAAAGCTATTCCAGGCTTGGCACTACCCCAATCACCCTGGCAAGGCCAGCCTCCTCCTTGGATATCTGTCTCCTTATCTAGATGAGGATGTCTTGCCAGTACCCACATTTTATGCATCTCAGGCTCAGTCCTCAGTCCTGGGCCTGCCATGTATGCCCATGTGTCCATTAACAAAATGAGGTGCAGGGAGCTGGGTGCAGTGGTACACGCCTCTAGACCCAGCTACTTGGGAAGCTGAAGCAGAAGGAATGCTTGAGCCCAGGTGTTCAAAACCACCTGGGCAACATAGTAAGACTCTGTGTCTAGAAACAACAAAAACCAAAAAAGCCCTACTGAGGAGCAAAACAACAGGTAGCACTTGGCACTGTCCCCATCAGTCAGTCACAGGAGGTGGAGCTCTCTGCTTACTTGCATGGTACCCACAGCTGTGCAAAGGGCAGAAGAGCAGCCTGTGCTCCACTTTGCTCTCAGGTGTTTCTAAACTCTAAGTCTGAGAATGAGGTCATAATGCTAGCCACTAGCATGGTCAGCCCTGGGAAAGTGACAAAGCAAAGCAATTTGGTTAAATTCAAGCACCCGCATGCCCAGTTGCCATGAGAATAAAGGAACTGGAATAGTGGATGGAGAGTCGTGACGCAGGCATTTGCCCCTGTGAATACGACACGCCCGTGCACAGTAAACAAGCAGAGGCTCCGGCCCATCCCACCCCCAGCACCTGCCTTCAAAACTTACAGCAGGATGGGCTGGTCTGAGGTGATAACATTCCCATTCATGTGAAGGTTGCACTTCATCGGCTGCCCTGAAAAACCAAGGGAAGAAAAAGCTCTGCCATCAGACCCACCACCAAGGGTCGAAGCACCCAACACAGATAGCTCCGGCTCCACAGTTGGGGACAGGGCTGGTGGGTTTCAGCCAAGTCTAGACACTAAGAAAAGCCTAAGGTATGAGGAAACAATTGCCCCAAAGAGCAATAAGGGCACTAAAAAACAAAGTGGTAACAAACTTTGCTTCATACAGGAGGAGAGGAGAGTGGAAATGAGAGAGAAATTGCACTCAGTGTGAAGCTGTCCAAACTTGTGAAGCAGTAAGGGAAAATATGTATGCTATCAAATTAAGTAAAAAGTATGTACATTTTGGATTTTTTTATTTTTTAAGAGATGGGGTCTCACTCACTACCCAGGCTTGCCTCAAAATCCTGGGCTTAAGGGATCCTTCCACCTCAGCCTCCCAAACAGCTGGGACTGCAGGTGTGCACCACTGCACCCAGCTAAATTAAATGAAAAGAGGATTCAAAAGTGTATCTACAGACTTCTACTTTGTCCACAAAGGATTAACTGCCAGGAAGACTGCACTCCCACTGTATATAAGCTGTGATATGTATAAAAGTAACAGCACAAAAACCAGGAAGGAATAGAGCCATAATGTTTTTATATCTTACTGGAATTAAGTTAAGCCCAATTATCATTGATGACATAAATGTGAATAGATTAAATAAATAATCCAATCAAGAAACAGACTAGAAGATCAGAATAAAAAATAAAACAAAGTCCAATTATAAGCTATCTATAGGAGACACACTTTATAAAAATACAAAAGATTGAAATCAAAAGGGTAGAAAAAGATTTATCACCCAAAACGCAATCCTAAGAAAGCTGTATTGTTTGTTTTTGGAAAGAGTCTTGCTCTGTTGCTAGAGCTATAGTACCACGGCGTCAGCCTAGCTCACAACAACCTCAAACTCATGGGCTCAAGCGATCTTTCTGCCTCAGCCTCCTGAGGAGCTAGGACTACAAGCATGCACCACCACGCCCGGCCATTTTTAAATATTTTTCTAGAGAAGGGGTCTTGCTATGTTGCTCAGGCTGGTCTTGAACTCCTGGCCTCAAGCAATCTTCTCGCCCTGGCCTCCTAGAGTACTAGGATTACAGGTGTGAGCTACCATGCCTGGCCCGAAATAGACTTTAAAACAAAAAATGTTACTAGAGATAAAGAGGGACACTGAAAACTGATTAAAAGAGTCAATTCTGGCCGGGCACGGTGGCTCACACCTGTAATCCTAGCTCTCTGGGAGGCCGAGGTGGGCGGATTGCTCCAGGTCAGGAGTTCGAAACCAGCCTGAGCAAGAGCAAGACCCCGTCTCTACTATAAATAGAAAGAAATTAATTGGGCCCAATATAATATATATATAGAAAAAGTTAGCCGGGCATGGTGCGCATGCCTGTAGTCCAGCTACTCGGGAGGCTGAGGCAGGAGGATTGCTTGAGCCCACGAGTTTGAGGTTGCTGTGAGCTAGGCTGAAGCCATGGCACTCACTCTAGCCTGGGCAACAGAGCGAGATTCTGTCTCAAAAAAAAAAAAAAGAGAGAGTCAATTCATCAGGATGAAAATAATTATTAGCATAAACATATATACAATGAGCAACAGACCTTCAAATACACTAATAAAATTCATGACTATATGGAAATTAAACAAAACAACCCTAAATAATCAATAGGTCAAAGAAGACATCACAAGGGAAATAGAAAATACTTTAATTAAGATGAATGAGGCCGAGTGCGGTGGCTCATGCTTGTAATCCTAGCACTATGGGAGGCTGAGGTGGGACGATCATTTGAGCTCAGGAGTTCGAGATCAGCCTGAGCAAGAGCGAGACTCCATCTCTACTAAAAATGTAGAAAGAAAATTAGCTGGACAACTAAAAAAAAAATATAAATATATATATAATAAAATTAGCCAGGCATGATGACACATGCCTGTAGTCCCAGCTACCCAGGAAGCTGAGGCAGGAGGATTGCTTAAGCCCAGAAGTTTGAGGTTGCTGTGAGCTAGACTGATGCCACGGCACTCTAGCCTGGGCAACAGAGCGAGATTCTGTCTCAAAAAAAAAAAAAAAAGATTATATAAAGAAACTTTTACAACTCATTAATAAAAAAGAATACAATTAAATTAGGTATGGCACAGTGGTTCTATAATCCCCGTATTTTTATGCTAAGGTGGCAGGATTGCTTGAGCCTAAGAGTTCAAGTCCAGACTGACTTTAACAAAAAGTAAAAAAATTAGCTGGGTATGGTGGCACGCACCTATAGTTCCAGCTACTTGGAAGGCTGAGGCAGGAGAATCACTTGAGCCCAGGAGTTCAAGGTTGCAGTGAGCTATGATCATACCACTATACTCCAGCCTGAGCAACAGAGCAAGACCCTATCTCTTAAAAAACAAACAAGCAAACACCACCACCACCCCCCAAAAACCAAAACCCAATTAAAAAGTGGACAAAGATTCTGAATAGACATTTCTCCAAAGAAGACACACAAATGGCCAAAAAGCACACAAAAAAGGTGCTCAACATTATTAGCCATCAGGGAAATTCAAACCATTGACTTTTCCAGGTGAGCTCACCCAGGTGCCAACATTTAGACAAGGGTCCAGGTCTTTTATTATCATTTTGTTGTATTATTTTTATTACTCTCTGCTTCCCCACTTCTAGCAGACGGCCTTGGTCCACAGTCACATATTATTCAATACATACTGAAAGAACAAATCAATGGAAAGGAGGAGCAGGGTAGACAGAGTTACTCTCTACATGATGTCCTGAGGTGCATAATACGAATTTGAATTCAACAAAGTCAGTAGTTTACTACTAGAAGCAGAGCTCACCTAGGTGCCAACATTCAGACAAAGCCCCAGGCCTTGGAGGAACCTTTGTCCTACACAGACCAACAGCTGAAGGGGAAGGGAAGGCTGTGGTTCTTTGGCTTCCCTGGCAAGAACCCTTAAGAGAACCATCTATGGAGAAATGATGTTTTCCTTCTTGCTGGACTTAAGTTGAAGACTGGGTTAAAACCCAGGGCCCTATGGAACCCATAGTTCAGCACCACTCCGAGACTACATGTCCCTGCCTGTACCTGGTACAGAGAAGGCCCCAGAGGATGATCACATGAGGATGTCCTTCCACCCATCTCAGACGAAGGTTTGCTCTCTGACAGCAAGTGGAGAGAGGAGTAGGAGGTAAGGGAGCTGCTTTCTCCCTAACTTACCATCCAGACACCGGTTATTGTACTTCTTATATGCAGTGATGGCATCATCCTTTTTCACAAAGACCACCTCTGCTACCCCAGGATGGACCAGCCGAGCTCGCTTGAGGGCTCCACACACACAGAAAAGCTCCTGCAAAGAACAAGAGGGGTTGGGGCTGGAGAGGAATTTCTGGCTGCTCACCACTCACACACATTCCAAGGGCTCTAAGGTGGCTGCACTGTGCCCAAGGTTTCAGGAGAGCTGTTTTTGGTGGTGCTCTTGAGACAACCACAGGCCTCAACACAGAGCCAGATGAGGGATAAGCTGTGCTGCCAGTGAGAAGCAGGTCTGTAGCTCTGTGATGCTATTCCGGAAAAAAAAAAAAAAAAAAAAAAAGCAGGTCTGGCTTACAAGCCTTGGCATATCTGTGTCCTCCCAGCAAGTCACCACCAAAACCTCAATACCCACCTCAATACGGTAACAGTTATGGAATCTCATGACAGAGCAAGGATCTTATGTGCGGGTGTTTTTTCGCCCACTTGTTTTTTACTTCAAATATAGTACTAATCGTGCACAGGATTTTTCATAAGTTTTTTTTAAACTTATACCCTCCCAATCGGTCTGAGGGACAGTGAACATGGGTGGGGTGGGGTCTGCTCCGTTTAAAAAGTTTGAGACCCCTTGCCCTAGCAATAGACGCACAGTTGTCACTCGTAAAAAAAAAAAAAAAAAGTCAGATAAGATGCGTTTGATCCCTGAGGCTCTGCTTCCTGTCAGCTGTGTGATCTCCAGCAAGTTACTTAATTTCTCCCAGGCTTTTTTCATCTTCTGAAAATAAAAGTACCTTTTACCCCCAGGGTTGTTGGAAAGTTCAAGTGAGATATCTTTTTTTTTTGAGACAGAGTCTCGCTTTGTTCCCAGCGCTCGAGTGATGTCCATGCATCAGCCTACTCACAGCAAACCTCAACTCCTCCTGGCTCAGTAATCCTGCGCCAACCTCCCAAGTGCTGGGACTACAGGCATCCGTGCCACCATGCCCGGCTAATTTTTTTCTATATTATTATGCCAATTATTCGTTTCTATTTATAGTAGAATGGGGTCTCACTCTCTCAGCGGTTCAAACTCCTGACTTGAGCATCCGCCGCTG